TGGGGCAGGCCACACAACCTCTCGATGCCTCAGTATGCTTTTGTAGGAGAAATGATAATATGTTAGGATTGCTTGGGGAATAAATGAGTTATTTTAATGCACTTAGAATAGTGTCTGAGATGGAAAAATAGCTATACGTTTGATATTATCATCATTGTAATGTGTCTCTTTTGAATTATGCTGCAGAAAAAGATTGGCTGCCAACATTCATCCCAGACTTTATTGCTGTAGTGCCATTTGATTGGTTTGTACGTTTTCCCAGAAGTGGCCTGGCCCACGCCCATTTTTGCAGCTGGCAAATTAAGGATGGCTTTACATTTCTAAATAGCTGAAAAAAATAATGTTTTGTGATGTGAAATTTATGAGATATTCAAATTTCAGCATCTCTCTAATGAAGTTTTTATACAAAATCCATTCATTTCTGCTTTACTTTCCTGTTCCAAGAGCAGAGCTGAGCAGTCCCAGCAGAGACCCAATGGCCCATAGAGCCTAAGATAGTTCCTAAGTGGCACTTTACCATGTTACCTTGTTCTGCTCCTTAGAGCAGAACGCACTACAACCAATGTAGAGGCACTTTTATATTTGGTACGTGTTTCAGAAATGGTGCATACAGCAATTTGTGGTGGGGTAGTTTTGTGCTATATACTTATTTTGCGTAGTATATTTACATGCAAAAAGACTAAACATTAGAATTTTTTTCAAATAAATGTATTTTACTTGATGATTTTTCATAACATCAAGAAATTTCCTGATGGAATGTAGCAGTGAATATACAAAATAAACAGTGTCTAAATAAAGTTGAATTGTTAATGGATCCCTATCCACATTATTAATTTTCCAAGTCAAGGGCAAGTTTTCCCTATATCATTTTATAGTTTTTCACTATCTCATGATAAAATACCATCTTTATGTCATACTTAACTAAGGTAACCTAATAACACAAAAAAGTCACAATACCCAACTGCACCAGCTACATTACTAGTAATTTACTTTACTAGTACTATATTACTAATAAAACTAATTTATTGCCCATACTTCATATAATTTCAAATGCTGCTCCAATCTAAATCCTGCCACCTTACTTCCCCTTTTTAGTGATGACTTTCAATGAGGTTCAACTTTTTAAGCATGCTTCATTCTGATTTGTCTGTTAAACACTAATGATCACCTAGTGTGATGATATTTAGTGATTGCTTGTATCTTAAGAATAAAGTATATAAACCTTCTGATATTCCATGGTAAAATACTGTTACCCATATTGTACTCAGCTCTGACGAGCACTCCATCATGATAGAGTTTTAAGAAGAACCTTAATGCCTTTAGAATTGCTTTTTATTTCAACCTGCTGTGAGAGCAAATACATTTCTAACTTCCTCAGGCTTCTCAATCAACAAATAAAAATTAATTAGTACTGCCCTAGCCAGTTTGGCTCAGTGGATAGAGCATTGGCCCATGGACTGAAGGGTCCTGGGTTCAATTCTGGTCAAGGGCACATGGGCTCAATCCCCAGTGTGGGGCATGCTTGATACGCAGGTCTGGCTGCGCCTCCCATGGAGGCAACCCATCGATGTGTCTCTTTCATCTTGATGTTTCTCTGTCTTTTCCCCTCCCTTCCACTCTCCCTAAAAATCAATGGAAAATAGCCTCAAGTGAGGATAAACAACAAATAAAATTTAATTAGTACTTTCCAAGGACAATCCAATAACTAGAAAATCTATTAAGAATAAAGCCTGGCTCGCCCTAGCTGGTTTGGCTCAGTGAATAGAGCATTAGCCCAAGGACTGAAGGGTCAAGGGTTCAATTCCTGTTAAGGTCAGGCACCTTGGTTGCAGGCTCCATGCCTGGTCCCTCCCACCTCCACCCCTCACTCCAGGTTGGGACTGGTGCGGGAGGCAACCAATCTCTTTCACATCGATGTTTCTCTCTGTTTCTCCCTCTCCCTGTCACTCTAAAAATCAATGGGAAAATATCCTTGGATGAGGATTAACAACAAAAAAAGAATAAAGCCTGGCCCAGCCAGTGTGGCTCAGTGGTTGAGTGTAGACCTATGAAGCAGGAGGTTATGATTCAATTCTCTGTCAGGGCACATGCCTGGGTTGGGGTCTTGATCCCCAGTAGGGTGTGTGCAGGAGGCAGTCAATCAATGATTCTCATCTTTGATGTTTCTCTCCCTTCTTCTCTGAAATCAATAAAAATGTATTAGCAGAGAGCCCAACAGCGTATTATGATTTGCTTGCCTTGCTTCTTTAATAAACTTGCATGCTTTAATTTTTTAATAAATTGGCTTTATCTCAATGCATGTTATTTGGGCAACTTAGCCAGGAAGCTGCAGTTTCACACTCGCCAGGAATCCAACAAAGAGGAGATGGATGCATGCCCAGTAAAGTTGGAGAGACTAGGGAAGACACTGTCAGTCACACCTGGAATCAGAGGTCACTGGCTGGAATGGGCGTGGCCACTGCAAGCACTCGGAAATTTGGGGATACATCATCCCCTAAACAAAAACGTTTGCTCTCTTGTGCTCGTGGGACTCATTGTTCATGTGCTCCTGGCTTGCTCTTGGCTTCCTGGTATTTACCCTTATAGCCCACGGCCATAGGGACCCCTCCATGCAATGGATAATGAACTGTAACTAGCCTGAGGCCGGACTGGTCCTGGCTCCAACATGGAAAAGAAACTCTGGACACTGGCTCTGATTTTAGTCCCACTGAACCCCATCTACACTTCCTCTATGACTGGACTAAAGGAAATGGGACTTTGGAAGACCAGGGGTATAATTCCATGAAAATAAACTTTCAACCATATTGCATCCTCCCATGAGAATCTCAGAAAATTCCTTTTCTCAGGATATCACAAGAATTCCACTCCCAGCAGCAACTGCAGATGAGGCACGCTCCCCTCCAATAACACCTGGGCTTGAACCTCTGTCCTTTTGCCCTCCTCTTCTCGTCACACTTGGGGGGGGGGGGGCAATCCTTCCAAGGTTGTGGCCTTCTCATCTTTCTTGGTTTTACTTACATTTAAAACAATGGAGAACCTGACCTAAAATAATTATTGATATTTATATTTATTTAAATGTAACTAAACTAAAGAGTCGGGTATTACTGCATGTTTTAAACATTCTTGCAGCACACCAGTTGAAAATCACTGTTTCATAGCAGCTATGTGGGCCTAGCAGCCACCTGGGGCCCATGTCAGGCCACGCAGCTTTAATATGGCACAGACTCTCTGAACACTGGCCTTTGTTCTGGGCTTGAAGACAAGGCTGGACTTTTCCCACCGGGGGACAGATGGAGATGAGACACTAGGAACCTAGCGACAGCCTTCTATTTCCTCCCAAAATAAATCGTACCATGCCACAAGCTCCCGTACATGGGTCCCTGGAATGTCTTCCTTGGGACCTGGTGAAAGAACCCCACTTCCATCAGCAAAATAGGGAAATGCAAATAAAAGACCACAAGGTCTTTCCACTCCTCTTAGAATGGAAAAAATAAAACAAACACTGGACATTGAGAAACAAGATCTCTCATTCATTGCTGGTGGGAAGGCAAAATAATACACTTTGGAAAACAGTATTACAATATCTAATAAATGTAAACATACACTTACCCACTCCAATATATTAACCCAACAAACTAAAAACTTACGTTCACACAAAAGCTTGAACACAAATGTTTATAGTATCTTTTTCCATAACCACCAAATCAGGTGACAACAGGTGACTGGATAAACAAATTGTGGAGCACCTATAAATGGAATACTATCTATAATAACAAAAGCATAATATGCTAATTAGACCAGACAACCTTCTGGATGAAGCCGGGGGTGCGAGGGAAGCCCGGTCCTGGGTGCCAGAGGGAAGCCAGTGCCGGCAGCCAGGGGAAGGAAGGCCTACTCTTGTATGAATTTCGTGCATTCAGGCCTCTAGTTCAGTAATAAGAAGGAATGAACTAATGCCTCACACTACTATATGAATAAATCTTAAATGACTTTTGCTAACTGAAAAAAAGTCAAACCTAGAAGTGCATATTATATCATTCCATCTATCTGACATTCTGTAACAGTTAAATTATATAAAAGAGAATAGATCACTGATGCCAGGGACTTGTTGAGTAACAACAGGTCACTCCAGGCAATATTTATGACAATAGAACTATGTTGCTTGATATTTTGTAACTTGAATGAAAAAGGGAGGGGGAGGAGCTATCCTAAATAACTTTGTAAAACATTTTTACTGGATACAATGAGACTGAAAACAAAAAGAACTGTACATAAACATTGTAGTCTCATTGGTAAATAGGGGTTAGCAATTCTGAAAGTACTTTACATGTATAGTAGTGTTAGAGTAAGTAGCTAGATATTAATAATAAAAGGAAGCAAAGGGAACCAGACATTATTAAGCATAATAATCTAGGAACCTGAATCGGATAATAAGCCTGCTTCACTAGGAAGTTATAGCTTCACACACACACACACACACACACCCCCAGGGCAAGCATGTCAAACTCAAAGGCTAACACGGGCCAAATAAATAAGGTTTAAGTTTATGTGGCTGCAAAAAACCAAAAGCTTCAATTTTCATAGAAACAAAGGTTTATTTTGATAGAGACATGCTGAAAACAAAGGGCTGAAATAAACGAGTAATCATTAACATAAAATAACATTTTAATAAAAATGAACATTTTTCTTGAACATTAGCTTACCAGATACTGAATAACCGCACAGATTAATAAGCATAGTGCAAATAAACCTATTTTTTTTTTGTTCTCCGAAAGCAAAATATTTCCTGTTGCGCACACCAAACAAGTCAGTCCAAGACTAATGATGGGGCAATCGGCTGCAAAATATTCGCTGCTAGTATTAGTGGAGAGAAATGGTGCGCCTGTGCGTAAGGCGCGTAAGGGAAATGAATGCAACACGATTATAGTAATCAGTCATTAGTGAACATTGTAGTTCACTATTAATAACTATGTATAACAGGATATTGTAAAAGTTAAGTTATGAACTTTTTATTAAAACGTTTTTTACATACCGTTACATTGGCTGGGCTGCAAAAATATTCCTTGTGGGCTGCATGCGGCCCATGGGGTGCCAGTTTGACATGCTGGTCCGGGGCATCCTCCACCCTGGAGACCTAATCCCCCAAGCAGGAAGGAAGGATTGTTACTGGTCATTACCAGCGGAGGAATATAAACAGCAGAAATTCCTCTGCTGGGGCACATGCCCAGTAGAAGCCAAGATGGCACAAGGGAGGTGCTTTTACTATGAGACATGCACAGTAGGAGCCAAGTTAGGAAACATAGAGGCCTGTCCGTCTAGCCTGGGTAAAGGACTGGATTGGATAAGGGACATAGAACCCTGGAAGATCTAGGAAATGGATTGGTTAGGGGGAGAACCCAATGCTAGAACGATTGAGAAGTTGGTTGGTTTGAAAGGGCTCCTAGTTTTTCCCAAGCCCACGATAACGTAATCAGCCTAACAAAAACAAAGCTCTCTCTCTCACTCTCACTCAGTAGCATGCACTCCCCAGTTTGTCCCTGCATTTCTCTCCTAACAGCCATGCGCGGACTCCACGTGCAGGTCCAAGCCTGAGCCTGAGTATGGCAGCACAGCGCCAGCCGGGATCGGACTAAGCTGGCTGGACAAGGACAGGTACTGAACTGTACTGCCCAATGGCACAGAATTCTAGAAGCTGGGGAAAGAATATATGGGAACTAGCTTTTTAACTAACTCTTCTATAAATCTAAAGTTATATTTTTTTTAAAAAAAAAAGGTAAAAAAATGACATTGACCAAAAAGAGTTCACTATATATCTATAATAATAAAAGCATAATTTGCTAATTAGACAGACAGCCGGTCGACGTTCCGGATGACCTTCTGGAGGAAGCCAGGGCTGCGGGGGCCAAGCCCCTTGCAAGAATTTCGGGCATCGACTCTCTAGTTCAGCCGTGGGCAAACTACGGCCCGCGGGCCGGATCCGGCCCGTTTGAAATGAATAAAACTATTGAAAAAGAAAACCATACCCTTTTATGTAATGATGTTTACTTTGAATTTATATTAGTTCACACAAACACTCCATCCATGCTTTTGTTCCGGCCCTCCGGTCCAGTTTAAGAACCCATTGCGGCCCTCGAGTCAAAAAGTTTGCCCACCCCTGCTCTAGTTGTTTCATAAGAGGCTCATCATAAAATACTATGCCCAGGAAAATGGGAGATATCTGTAATACAATTAACAATAAAAAACATATTTAAAAAATAAATAATATGCCCATCCCCCCCCCAAAAAAAATTCATAGATACAGACAATAGTATGGTGATTACCAGAGGGAAAGGAGAGTGAGGGAGGTAAACGGGGATAAATGGTGATGGAAGGAGACCTGACTTGGGGTGGTGTATTATAAAATTGTACACTTGAAACCTATATCATTTTAGTAACCAAAGTCATCCCCAATAAATTCAATAAAAATTTTTAAAAAGCATGACCATAGGATCATACTGTACTAAAAATATCGGGAGGATGTGCACATAAAATAATGTATAGTTGGCGCAGGTACATTTTGGTGTGCCCTCCTCTTTATATGAAGTTCCTTACATGTGAGCAATTTTTATTATTAAAACCGAACTGCTAGCTTGCTTTATTCCTCACTCTGGAGAGTAACTACGGTCACAAATATTAAATTTATTTTCTAAGTGTTAAAAAATTGACTTACATGCGGAAACCGGTTTGGCTCAGTGGATAGAGCGTCGGCTTGCGGACTGAAAGGTCCCCGGTTCGATTCCTGCCAAGGGCATGTACCTGGGTTGCGGGCACATCCCCAGTAGGAGATGTGCAGGAGGCAGCTGATCGATGTTTCTCTCTCATCGATGTTTCTAACTCTCTATCTCTCTCCCTTCCTCTCTGTAAAAAATCAATAAAATATATTTTTAAAAAAATTGACCTACAGTAACATAACTGTTCGCGCTCAGACATGCAATCCAGGCCCCTTTCCCTCCTCTAGGCTTGTGTCTGAAGGGGCAGCACTTGGATGCGCGTTTCTGGGAGGAAGCCTCCGGTCCGGCCCGACAGCAGCCGCAGGTAGCAATCCCTCCACCGGGTCCGGAGGAGGAAACCGCTGCGGACGCCTAACGGGAGGCACGGCGTTGCCTGGGAGGGGAATCTTGAGAATGTTCTTAACAATTTACGTGCCGGGCACCGTCCCGAGTGCTTTCACAGTAAGCGCCTGGAATGCGTATTCGTGAGAACCGTGCGAGGCAGGCCCCGCTACTAGCTTACGTTTAGGAGTTTGCAGCGAGGCATCGCGCCGAGGGCCGAGCCGCTCCTCCAGCCCCGGCTGTCAGAGCCGAGCCCCCGCGCCGCGCCCGCCGGAGCCCGCCCTCTGCGCATGTGCATCCCCGCCTCCACCCCGCGCGTCCTTCCCGGCCTCTAGCCCTCCGGGGGGAACCATCCTAGGCCTGCGGGTCCACGCGGCGAGGGAGCTGCGGGTGAGCCCCAGAGGGTGGGAGAGGGCCGAGGGGGCCCCGCGCGGCTCGGGGGTGCGGCGGTTCCGGTGATGGGGAGGAACCCTGCGGGCCCCGGCGGAACCCCTGGCGTCTGCGGCACCTGAAGCTGAAGGGACGCCGGGCGGGGGCTTCTCCCTCCAACTGGGCCCCGTTGGCGTGGGATGCGGGCTCCAGGGCTGGCGAGCTCTACGGCGTTTCGCCCCGAGCTAACACGCCCCCGTGTGGCCGCCGGTGGGAGTGCGCGTGCGCGACGCGAGCGCTGGGCCCGCGGGGCAGAGCGGGACTGGGACTGGGACGCAGGAGTGCGCGTGCGCGGCGTGTGCGCGTGCCTGGCGTGTGCGCTGGGCCTGCGAGGAAAGGGCCGGGGTTGGTAGTACGTGAAATCGCCGGACCAAATAGCCCCCGGAGACCCTCATTTCTCATCTGTGAAATGCGGCGTTAGGGACACTCGCCGCCCTGTGCTGTTCTGAGCGCCTGCGCGTTGCTAGCTGCTGTGTGTTTGTTGTGCGCGTGACCTGCGGCTGGAGCTGGGACTGGTCTGCGGGGCCTCGTTTCCCCGTTAACTCTGGGGAAACGGGAGGGGAAGGGCTGGGCTGGCTGGCACCGAGGCGCCCCCCCGCCCCCCGCCCCGGCTCCAGCATTCTCCAGACCCCAAGTTAGTATTCATTATGTGCTCATTTGCTGTGGGTTATGTGTAATCACGCACAGCCTCTGGAAGCCATGGGAGGCTGTGTGACGGGAAGAGGAGAGAGGTGAGCTGGGGCCAAGGCCGGCGCACAGGCTGTGCAGCACATGCCACCCCTTTGGCGAGCTCGTGACCCTGTCGTGGGGATGGAAGGCTCACCAGCGACAGCTGAGGAAATTGTCATAATTCCTCCCCAAATACCCGCTACGCCTCTGGTCCTCGGTCCTCGGTCCACTCTTCCGGAGGTGAGCTGCCTGCAGCGCCCCGTGGATGATTGTTGATGGCGCCTAGAGAAGATGCAAGGTCCCCCTCTCCTGGCCTTCTGCGGGCAGGGCCTTTCTGGATGATCTCGTTTGACCTCATTTGAAAGGTTTTTTAAAAAATGAGTCTGAGAAGGTGACCGGCTCAGATCATGCCATGTGTTAGTGGTGGGACCGAGATGAAAAGGTAGGTCTGCAGACCCCCGAGCTACTGCTCATTTTGTCAGTTCGGTCAAAGCTGGTTCCTTATTAAAAGATCTTTTTGAAAATTGTGAGCAGGTTAGAACAAACATTAAAAATATTACCTGGTCGTAAACATCCCCATCCCTTTTTTTCAGGGGTTTCTTGGATTTGACCCCAAAGGATTAATGTTGCTCGCAGGTAAAGAGATAAGCAATATGGCTTGAGGGTTTCTTTTTCTCCACAACATCAGTTTTAACAAATCCGTGGCGTTTCCTTCTTTAGATTACTATTCTATGTTAAACGCATCTTCTTATGTTTTTAATTTTTGTGTCGCAGACCCTAAATTGGTAATAAATCAGTAAGAAACAAATATTACATTCACTCAGTGACAAGTGTCATGTCTAAGCTCAGCATGTATTGGAGCCACACATGGACATGTAAGCATCCTGCGTGTAGGCAGGGCAACCCGGGAACCGCACAGCAGGCCATGCACTCCTGACTTCCTTCTCCCTTCTCCCTTAGCACTGCCGCCTCCTCTAAGAACAGAAAATGAACAAACCCCAGGTGAGTGTTTTGTTTATGTATTCCCACTTGTTTTAAAATGTGTTTTCTAAATTTTATACGGGTTCATATTTTTAAAATGAAAAAGTAGAAATAGGCAAAGTTTTACATTAAGGGAAACGTAACAAGAGAAGTAAATCCAAAAGGACAGTTGGTAAAATCAGGGGCACGATGTTTAATTTTACAGTTACCCAAGTGATTGTAAAATTTTCTCTGATCTTCCTAATGACAACACTGACATACATGCATTCTGTTGCCTATAATCATTCTTTGGTGGAAACAGTAAATGCTAAGGCTGACCTCGTCGGGTATACTTTTCAGGAGACCCAGCAGTGAGGTGTGAGTCCACAGCTGTTCATGGTCCTGCTTGATCCAGGAATAAAAACCTGGAAGATCTGGCTGAATGGAGGGACTTTAATTCCCCAAAGAACTCCCCATAAATGTTTGTGTCAGCGCGTTTGTATTTCTAGCGTGAGTAGTAGACAGCTCTGATGTTCATTTCTGCATTTGTCATTTACATTTCAACCTAATGAAGGCAGTCTTGCTGCATCACCACTGCTACCTTGAATCAGTTCTGGAAAAGGCCACCAACTTGTAGTAAAACCCAGCTTTTGTCTTTGTTTTACTTGCCTCCTCTGCAGTACTTGGAACTCTGATCTATTGTCTGTTTTGAAAGTGTCCTCTGTTGTCTGTGACACTGCCCTCCTAGCTGTCTTTACCTACTCTGTCCCCCAAGAAGTGTCTTTTTCTTTTCTTATCTGTTCTTGGTCCATTGCTCTCCTCAGTCTACCTATTTTTTATGACCGGTATTGCTTTTTATTTTTTTAAATAAAATAGTTTTGAATTGGTGATATATTTACATGGCTAAACATGTGATATAGAAGACAGTAACTTAAAAACTCACACTTCCATCCTCTCTGTACCTGATGCTCCCTCTCTGTTTGGTGACATTTATTTATCACTTAAACTGAGATGCTTTCACTGAGAGTGAAAGAGGTTCTACAAACAATTATGCTGGGACAACTGGCAGGTGTTGGAGCAGTTCCAGACAAACTGGAGTGCGTGGTCACCCTACTGTTGGTATCCATTATTAATGATTTCTTGTTTACCTTTCAAGTGTTTCTTTATTCAATTAAAAGAAAATATGCGTGCATATTCTTGTATGCCCTCTCTATTTAAAATGCTTCCTTAAATGCTTCTCAAATTTAGATGCATCTGTACATGTTGTTAAAATGCAGATTTTTGATGTAGTTAGTAGAGCTGGGTGGAGTCTTGAATTCTATATTTTTAATAACCTCCCAAATGAAGCTGATTCAGCTGTTAAAGTTACCACACCAAATAGCAAGTCTTTACACTATTTTCCCTTTTCGGCATTTTCTTTCACCTTTTTTCATCCTGTCCCAGAGAACTCTATAACAGAACATGGATTGCTGTTTCTTTTGTGTTATAACTGTATAGTAATTCAATTGTGAATATCCCATAGTTTATTTAACCAGTTATTAACTATTTCCAACCTTTTTCTGTTACAAGCCATGTTTTAATGACTAACCTAGTAAGTATAGATTTATTCCATCAAATAAATTACCATAAGTGGAGTTGCGAGATCAAAGGGTGAATACAAATAAATAAACTTGATCAGCTTGGTGGAATTATAATATTATTATATCCCCTTTATACTACATGAGAGTGCTTGTTTCTCCTCAGCTATTTTTCATACACTATGTGGTTCAACTTCTGGCAACTAATAAGTAAAAAGTGATATTTTATGTAGTTTGCACCTGCAATTTTCTTAATTCTGAGTGAGGCTGAATATTTTTTCATGTATCTAAAAGTTGTCTTGTATTTATATTTCAGTGAACTATCTGTTCATACCTATTGCCCATTTTGCTCCAAAGTTTCTGGCTTCCTTTTTTCAGTGGCTAGTTAGCTCTTTATTTATATTAGGGATACTAATGCTTGTTTATTATATGCGTTACAAACTATTATTTTTGGGTATATCATTTGTCTTTTGGTAATTGCTCTGGTTTCTTTTATTGGAACCAAGATTGGGAGGCTATTGCTGCTGATGTGTCATTGCTTGTAGACACTCTCTCAGCTGACTGACCAAGGAAATAGATGTCTATACTAACATATATATATATATACACACACACACAGATATATATATATATATATATATATATATATATATATATATATATCCTATCTAATAAAAGAGAAACATGGTAATTAGCGTACGACCACTACCCTTCCCATTGGGTAATCAGTGAGATATGCAAATTAACAGCCAGCCAAGATGGCGGCCGGCAGCCAGGCAGCTTGAAACTAACATGAGGCTTGCTTGCTTCAGTGATGGAGGAAACCAACGTTCCCCGCCTGCCTTGCCGGCGTCTGAGCTTGCAGTTTGAAGCATAGTTACAAATATAGAAGCTAAACAAACCCCCAGAAACCTGCTTTCAGCCCACCGGGATCTCAGAGCTGGAGTTGATACAGAGTTTCGATTATAGAACCCAAACAAACCAGATACCTGCTTTCAGCAGCAGAGGCCTCAGAGCTGGAGCCAGAGCTAAAGGTGGCCCAGAATAAAAAAAGAAAGAAAAAAAGGAGCAGTTGGGAGCTTTAGTCACCTGCCAGCCTGAAAACAGCCCTCAGCCCCTCACCCAGACTGGCCAGGCACCCCAGTGGGGACCCCCACCCTGAAGGGTGTGTGACCAGCTCCCCAACCCCCCTGATGGGCCCTGCTCTGTGAATGACGGGGCAGCGACCCAACCCCCTGATCTGCCCTGCTCTGTGCGTGACAGGTGGTGGCGCCGCAACCTCCCCATCGACCCTGCCTTGAGTGTGACAGGGGGCGGTGCCCCAACCCCCCCAATCGACCCTACCCTGAGCATGACTGAGGGTGGCATCGCAACCTCCCAATCTGCCCTGCTCTGTGCATGACAGGGGAAGGCGCCCCAACTCCCCAATCGGCCCTGCTCTGAGCCCGACCAGGGGCTGCACCTAGGGATTGGGCCTGCCCTCTGCCACCCGGGAGTGGGCCTAAGCCAGCAGGTCGTTATCTCCCGAGGGGTCCCAGACTGCGAGAGGGCACAGGCCGGGCTGAGGGACTCCCCCCCGAGTGCACAAATTTTTGTGCACCAGGCCTCTAGCATATAGATAGATAGATAGATAGATAGATAGATAGATAGATAGATAGATAGATAGACTAGATCATGTATTAAATAAGGCTGTGTTTCTTTGTGAGAAACTGCCAAACTGTTTTTAGGGGTGATGTGAGTTGATGAGACTCCTCCTTTGTTGCTTTGCCCTTCCAGCAATGGTGACCAGTGGACCTCCATGGAGTCCCCTCTGTGCCTCCACCCATCCCTGCGATTAGTCACTGAGTGCACCCTTTGCTCAGAGAAAAAGTGTTTCTGTAGTAACATTTCTCGGGTTTGCAGATAATGTGCTCTGCAACCTAACACGAAGGGTGAGGTGAGGCGAGCTCTGGGTGGTTTAAGGAAGGTGGCCAGGCTCCTGGGCTTTGTCTGGAATTCTCTGTCTGGAAAGCCAATTGCCAGACAACCATGGCCACATCTGTGCTTTGTCCCTGCCCTGGACACTGGGCTCAGCTGAAGCTCATACTGCCCATTCCTGCAGGAATGCTTACTAAATCTCTTGGCTTCTTTTGGCTGAAGGGAGTTCCATTCACAAGATTCCTCTGTCTGGACTGAGCCCCACAAGGAGCTCTTGGCTGCAGGGCTGCGTCCATGGCTCCTTTAAACTCTTCTCCCTTCTTGTCTCCCTGGTTGGCTCCCACTTGCCCACCTTTAGATGTTTCAATGTGCAGATCTCTCAGACATGTTTGTGTGTTGAACAAAGAATTCTTTGTTGAATTATAGCTGTTCAAATTGTTGAAACTTAAAGGGGTGAGACCAAGGGGATCTCTCACAGCACCATTCCTCTGATATCACAAGTTACCAATTAAAAAACTTGTATGTCTGACATACATTTGATGCTATGCATTTCCCTTTATGCACTGCTTTCACTGCATCCCACAAATTTTGATGAGAGGTATTTTCATCTTCATTTTATTTAAAATATATTAAAATTTCTTTTGAGATTTCTTCTTTGACCTATAAGTTATTTATAAATGTGTTGTTTAATAACACATTTAGTATTTGGGGGATTTTAATAACATAAATAGTATTTGGGGGATTTTCCAGCTGTCACTTGCTTATTAATTTCTATTTAATTCTATAATGGTCTGAGGACATATTTTGTATGATTAACTATTGTTTTAAATTCATTAAGGTGTGTTTTGTGACCTGGGCTATGTTCTGTCTTGGTGACTGTTCCATGTGAGCTAGAACGGAGTGACAGAATGTCTATGTTATTGTTTGGGATAAAGTCAGCTAGATCATGTTGAATGATAGTGTTGCTCAGGTCATCCATATACTTCCTGACTTTCTGCCTGCTCAATCTCTCAATACTGAGAGAGGAGCAACTGAAGTCTCCAACTATGCTCTGTCTGTTTCTCCTTTCAGTTTTATCAGTTTTTGTTGTATGTATTTTTATATTCTTTTGTTAGATACATACTTGTTTCAGATTGTCTCCTTTCTGTGGTATGATTTTGAACCCATCTAATGAGTTCTTAGTGTCAGCTCTAGAATGCCCTTTCAATGTATGTGTGTCTGTATGTACATGTGTGTACGTATATACATGTATCAGAAGGCCCCAAGAGCATTCCCAGGTTCAGTGACTCATTGGGGTGACTCATTATGTAGTTGTACTTATGGTGGTGACTTATTTAAGTGAAAGGATACAAAGCACAGTCAGCATAGGGAAAAGGCACATGGGGCCTAGACCAGAGGAAACCAGGCACAGGATTCTAAGAGTCTTCTCCCAGGACACACTTAGTCCTCTAGCAATGAGCTATGACAACAAACATGAAATGTCTGCCAGGAAAGCTCAGTAGACACTTAGTGCTCAGGGGTTTTATCAGGAGATAGTCACATCGGTACTCTCTGCTTAGCACCTGAACTCCCAGGCACCACTTGTACAACATAAACCACATTGTTTGCATAAACAGTCTAGGGTCAGTGAACCATTGTTATTAGAGAACTAGAGGCCCAGTGCATAAATTCGTGCACAGGTATGGTCTGGCCAGCCTGCCCCGATGGGGTTCCATAGGGCTGGTGGGGGGAAGGGGCTGTGGGCGGTTGGCTAGCCAGCCCCGCCCCCAATCAGGGTGGGGGCCAATTGGGCCAGACCGGCAGGATTGGGCGGGGGAGGGCAATTGGGGCCTGGATCAGGCTGGTTGCTGCCGCAATGCACTTCATAGCCACCAGTTGTTCTGGTTGTTCCGCCATTCCGGTTGCTGGGCTTTTATCCTATACTCGGGGGCCCAGTGCACGAATTCATGCAGCTTGAAAGGAACTGTGGGCCGTGAGGCTACAGTGGGCACAGGGTCAGGTCTCAGCCCATCCTCCATGCCCCTACCCGACCCCTCCCACCGTGGTCTTCCCGTTCCCCTGTAAGCCGGCAGCCCCACTCCCGCCGCCACTGCTCCCGTGCGTTGACGGCACTGGCCCTGCTGACGGTGGGTGCGAGTGGGGCCGTCGCCGGCAGCAGGTGCGAGAGGTAGCTGCCGGCCCCAATTGCCCCTCAAGAGCAGGGGGAGGTGGAAAGGCGCCGGCAGCAGGTGTGAGCAGCAGCTCCAGCACTGGCAGCATGTGTGAGCACTGGGCAGGACCATCGTGCACGTGAGCAAAGAATTTTCAGTAACCATCAGAAGCTTGCACCAATGACTGCAACCGGTGCCCCACCTTGGTCTGGCGCCCCTGCTTACCTGCTCCACCATCCCGCCGCAGCCAACGCTCGCCATGTTCCGTGTGCGCCCCCTGGTGGTCAGCACACGTCACAGCGACTGGTTGTTTGGTTCGGTTTTTTAGTTCCACCATTTGGTCTATTTGCATATTAGGGTTTTATAGATATATATATATAATAAAAGGCTAATATGCAAATTGACTGAACAGCGCAACGACTGGTCACTATGACGAGCACTGACCACCAGGGGTCAGATGCTCAATGCCTGAGCTGCCCCCTGGTGGTCAGTGCACTCCCACAGGGGGAGTGCCGCTCAGCCAGAAGCCCGGCTCACAGCCAGCAAGCGCAGCGGCGGTGGTGGGGGACTCTCCCACCTCCGTGGCCAGGCTAAGGATATCCGACTGATGGCTTGAGCGGGCCTAAGCTGGCAGTTGGACATCCCCCAAGGGCCCCAGACTGCCAACCGCCCAAATCTCTTGCACCGGGCCTCTAGTATATATAGATAGATGGTGAGAACTCTCCTGAAATCCAAGGTCCCAGATGCCAGCCAAAGGACACCTTGTGGCGGACTTATCAAGGGCTAGTGGTCTTAGCCCTACTCTGTTCTTTTCTGCACACCACACATCCCATCTTTCATTTCTTTTGTTCATATATTCATCTGTTTTATTGAATATATTATTCATCATTTATTTTGGAGTTCTTGCTTATCATTTCCAATATCTGAGTCCCCTATTAGTCTGTTTTTATTGTCTATTTTTTTCTTGGTCATTGTCTTTTCACAGAACATGAAATTTTTTATTGGATGCCAGACATTATATTTTTTTAAAAAATGGTAGAGGCTCAGAAAATGATCTCTTTCAGCAGAGAGGATTCATCCTTTCTCTGGTGGGCAGGCAGAATGCAGGGCTGGTCACTTTAATCAATCATAGGTTGAACTTGGTCAGGGCCTGCACCATATTCATTTCAATCCACTATTCATTTTAACAAAGTTTTACTTCCTCAGTGAAAGTTAACTTAATAATATAAAAGGTGCCCGGCCGTTGTGGCTAAGTGGTTGAGTGTCAACCTATGAACTAGGAGGTCACATTTCGATTCCCGGTCAGGGCACAACCTGGGTTGCAGACTCAGTCCCCAGCAGGGGACATGCTGGAGGCAGCCGATCAATGATTTGCTCTCATCATTGATGTTTCTCTCTCTCTTCCCTCTCCCTTCCTCTCTCTGAAATCAATAAAAAATATATTTAAAAAGATAAAAGTATTAAGCATTTAAAATATAATAATATAAAAGATAATATAAAAGAACTTAAAAAAAAAGAACTAACTTTTCCTTGGTAACCCCAACCTATTTTGTGAATACTGCTAGCTCCTACAATGTCTAATTTAATAAATGATAATGTATATGTCTCCTTATCATGTCATAAGCATTGAGAACAGAAACTGTGTTTGTTTTCATCAATAGTATTTTTGTAGCAGTTAGGACAGTTCCAAGCCCTTAGTGGAGAGTCAGTTTGTACATATTTTATCCTACATAATATAGCACAAAAGAAGGCATCCTATATGACAATTTTCAGTAAGCTCTAAAGAGATTAGTTCTTTCAAATGTTTTCCTCATATAGTTCTGACAGCTTCATATAGAAAAAGAATATACCGTTACAGGAACAAGTGTCATTCAAAGATGTGTGTGTGGACTTCACCCAGGAAGAGTGGCATCTGCTGAATCCTGCTCAGAAGATACTATACAGAGACATGATGCTGGAAAATTACAGCCACCTTGTCTCAATAGGTAAGAATATTTCTATGTGACTACCAGTACCATGCATTTCTTAGTTGATGAAACATATGAACTTCCTGTAAGAATTTTCTGATTTGAAGCTAGAGATTTGGGCTAGCATAAAGAATGCTGTGTTTTTCCCTCCTCAGGGATTGGTTGATTAGGGCACCTCCTTTGAACAGCTCTTTAAGCTGTACCTTCCTTCCCCACCATTTTCTCAGAGTCCCTAAAACCAGGCTGTTTAGCCCTAATGCTGTAGTATTTTCTCTTAACAGGGTATTGCATTACTAAGCCAGAAGTGATCATCAAGATAGAGCAAGGAGAAGAGCCCTGGATATTAAAGCAAGGATTCCCAAGCCAGTGCCACCCAGGTGAGTTCATGAGTTCGCACGCAGATGGAAGCCACAGGAAGTGAGATTTAAGCCATTGTTTAGGGCTTATCACCTTTCAGATATTTTTCAGATATTTTTTTTTGTAGCCCAGACCTTTGGAAGTTATAAGGACAATTGGCCCACATCCCTTTATTACCTTAATCACATTCCTCCACATGTCACTTTCACTCATAAGTGCTTTCCTTTTTCCTTCTACATTTTAAGGGTGACTTACCTATACCCATAAGCTAAATGCAGTCAGGTTCATCTTAGATAATTTTTCTTGGTTAATGTATCTTTTTTTTTTTTTTTTGGTTAGTGTATCTTAGAATTGTTCACCTCTATTGTCTTTGTGTTAGCTGGTGTTTTTTCATGCAGTACTTCTATATATTCATTTAACAAATATATGTGAGCACTCACTATGATCCAGTTATGTTTTTAGGTAATTAAAAGAATAATGTCCCTGCTGTCATGTAGTGTATATACAGCGAGGGGCACAAAGCATACCTGTGTGTGTGTGTGTGTAGATATATGTGCATGTATATACACACACAGTGTTAGGTGGTGGTAAGTACTGTTAAAGTAGTGGGAAGGGGGATGGAGAATGATGTACTATTTGGTAAGAAAGTCAGGGAAAACCTTTTTAATGAGATTAATAGAGACAAGACTAATAAAGTGGAAGCGTGAATATTTTAGGCAGGGGAAACATCAGGTGCTGAACTTCTCAGGCAGATACATTCTTAGAGTGAAGAATGGCAAGAAGGCCACTGTGGCTGGAGACCAGAGGGCGTGGGGGAGATAGATAGGAGATGATATTAAATTATAATATCATAATATCATAATATAATAAATTAGTAGCATGGACCATGGTAGATACCATGGTTAATTTTGTTTTGAGTGATGTGAGAAATCCTTTGTTTTTTTAGTAAATCAAATTATGTAAATCAAATTATGTCATCAAATCTGATTTACAGTTTAAAAGAGTCTTTCTGACTTCTAGTCAGTAAATAAACTATGGTGGGTGAGTGGTACTTAGGCATTAGCAAGGAAGAAACACCAGTTAGGAGGCCATTATGTACTCCAGAGGAGAGAAGATAGTAGCTAAGGCTATGTTGGAAGTGCTCAGAAGTGGTAGATTTGTACAGATGTATTGAAATGCGACTAAGAGGATTTGCTGTTGGATTAGATAATAGTGTGTGAGAGAAAGAGAGGAGTCATGAATGACAAGCAGCTGGATAAATTAGAGTGTCATTTACTGAAATAGAGAAAATTAGGGAGGAGAGATTATAGGGGGGTTATTATAAATTTAAATTTAGACTCAATAAGCTTGAGGTAACTGTTAAAATCTAGTCTGTGTATTGGAGGTTGGATGTGTACAAGTATGGAATATAGAACTAGAAGTTTCCATTTGAAAGGCATTAATTTCAGGTGGTGTCAAAAGGCATGGGTTAGAGGAGATCTTCTAGAACAGATGTTGGGAAACTTTAATAAAAAACCAGAAGGTAAATATTTCAGGGTTAGTGGCCACATGTGGTCATGGTTGCTGCTGCTGCTGCTCCTCCCCCTCCCCTTTCCACCCCTTTCTCTTCCTATTTATTCTCCTCCTTTCTTCTTATCCTTGCTCCTCCCTAGTGCTCTTCTACTTTGTCCCTCTAAAAATGTAAAGAACATTCTTAGTTCAAGGACCATTCATTGCTTGTAGTCATAGTTTGCTGACTCCTTTTCTAAAGAGTGGTTCTTTGTGAGAGAAGTAGTCTTGGGACAATACACTTTTATGAGACACGTAAATCCATTGTCTCATCATTAGAGGAGATTGGGAAGGAACAGTCTGAGTGGCATGAAAACCAGAGAGGCTGGTTTTCTAGGAGTCAAATAAGGGACATTCTACAATCCTTTACTACCTTAAGTGGCAACCATGGGTCACTATACTAAACCTGTTATTTCCTATTACTGTTCTATTCAGACTGCTGTTGTTTTCCTTTCAAAACCATCTACTACAGCGGTTCTCAACCTGTGGGTCGGAACCCCTTTGGCGGTCGAACGACCCTTTCACAGGGGTCGCCTAAGACCATCCTGCATATCAGATATTTACATTACAATTCATAACAGTAGCAACATTACAGTTATGAAGTAGCAACGAAAATAATTTTATGGTTGGGTCACAACATGAGGAACTGTATTTAAAGGGCCAGAAGGTTGAGAACCACTGCTCTACATCTCTTCATTTTCTCACTTTTCACTGATAACACGTAAAACCAGAACTGTGCCTGTGATGTCTCATTTCTGGCTTGAGCTACCTCCTAAAAAAGGCTTTTATTTAACCTAAAGCATCCAGTGTATCTTTTACTAGCCTGATAAAGTAGCTTTTTATTAATAAATAAAATTAAAGCCTTTCATTGACTATTACAGTGTGGTCCTATTCTTTTTATTTTTTTATTTTTATAAGAATTTATTTGAGCCAAAATGACAACATGCTGGGAACCAAGATCACAAGTGCTCTACTGTCCTACCTATCTTAATTTCTTTCTTTCTGCTCTCCAGAATTTACACTAAAACCCATACTATATTATATCCTAAATTCACTTATAAATGCTCTTTTTTAAACTTTTAAGTAATTTTTTATTTTTCAGTTACAGTTGACATACAATATTATATTAGTTTTTGGTGTGCAACTCAGTGATTAGATGTTATATAATTTACTAAGTGATCACCCCAATAAATCTAGTAACCATCTGACACCATAGTTATTACAATATTATTGACTGTATTCCCTATGCTATACTTTACATTTCTGTGACTATTCTGTAACTTCCAATTTGTACTTTTTAATCCTTCACTTTTCCACCCATCCCCCCAACAGCCTTCCCATCTGGCAACTGTCAAAATGTTCTTTGTATCTGTGAGTCTCTTTCTGTTCTACTTGTTTATTTTCTTTTTTAGATCTCTTTTGTCTGGTGTAAGTATTGCTACCCCAGCTTTTTGTTTGTTTGTTTCCATTTCCATGAAATATCTTTTTTCATCCCTTTAAATCTGTGTGTGTCTTTTGATCCTAAGTGAGTCTTTTGTAAGCAGCAAGGGTCTATGAGTCTCTTGTAGATAGCAAGGGTCTGTTTTCATTATCCATTAAGTCTCCATATGTCTTTTGATTGGAGCATTTAATTTATTTGCATTTAAAGTAACTGTTGATAGATATGTATTTATTACCATTTTATTCATACTTCTTATCCTTATTTTTTTTTCTTCTTCAACACTAATTTGGTGGTGATGAACTGCTTTAGCTTTTCCTTGTCTAGAAAACTCTTTTTATTTGTCCTTCTATTCTAAATGATAGCTTTGCTGGGTAGAGTAATCTTGGTTATAGGTCCTTGCTTTTCTAAAGAATTTTTATTGATTTCAGAGAGGAAAGGAGAGGCAGAAAGAGATAGAAACATCAGTGATGACAGGAAATCATTGATCGGCTGCCTCCTACCCACTCCCTACTGGGGATTGAGCCCGCAACCCTGGAATGTGCTTTGATCGGGAATCCAAGCATGACCTTCTGGTTCATTGATCTATGCTCACACACTGGGCCACGCTGGCCAGGCTAGCCAAAAATTTTAAGATAATACCTACTTAAGGTCTCAGGACCATATAGAGAAATGTGATCATTATGGATATTACAGTTCAGTAAAATCCACAGATGAACCTCAAGGTATAAAAACTGAAAACTCTATAAAAGATAAACCTAGAAATAAAAGCAGACTTAAAATTCAACACTGCCTCAGAAACAAAATTATTTTGGGGAGAAGTTAGCCAGCAGATTGAGGTGAAGGAACGTATGACTTGATGGCTTGGGCAGTTTCGTGAACAGCTGTGAGAAAACAAAATGAACCTGGTCCTTTTGCAAAGAAGGCCTGCTCCTCATCTGGGTTGTATTTCCTGTTGAACATTTGTGATGTTGTGAGTCACAGCTAGAAAGAGAGTTAGAGTCTCAGGTAAAGCAGTGTTGCTTAATGCATGAGGAAATAGATGCTTTCAGAAATTTATTTTGATGTTGACATAAAATGGGGAAAGGAATGGCAACATGCATTAGTGAGGATCTTCCCACAGTAATCAGGTTGTGAGAAGGTAAGGACATAAACTATGATCCGCCTCTGCCAAAGTAGATTCTTCCTCTAATTTGTTTTTCAGTCTGTTTTCCTTAAAAACAAAAACAAAACAAAAAATAACTTCCCTTGTTGAACTCATCTAGTTCTGAGTGTCTTGCTTTCCGAATGAACAACTCTCAGAAAATCTGTACTGTTTGCTCACCATCTCTTCAGTTTATTTCACTGTCTCTAACTTGCCTCTTAAAACATTTTTAAAAGTAATTATTTTTCTGTGAATTATATTAAAGGAAAATCTAGATCCTGGGTTATAGGACTATTAGGACTATTCTTTTGGACCTAAGGAAGTTGGTGTTTTCAGAACTTTAGTTTGGTTTCATGTGTAGAGTGGAGTCATGTACTCTAGTTGGAATCCTACCCCAGTATTCTGTGTACGAGAGGATTACGACTAAATTGTTCTCTCTCTACCAAACACAGTTCATCCTCTGAAAGCCCTTGTCTACTCACCTTAACTATCACTTTATTCCATGTTTAATGTCTCCTTTGGGCTCACCCCATTCTCTTGCATTTCCTTGTTTCTGAATCAGCCACTCCCAGTGCTCTGAATTTTATTTCCTTTTTTTGGTTTAGTTTTGAAGGTTATATATTTATAAAGTGCTAAATGTCATTGCCACTTTCCTTTCCCTGCTTCCACTGCAACATGTATTTTCCACTCCAACCAGAACAGTAAAGGAAATATATAGTTGGATTTAGTTCATACCAGGAAACTGGGTCTAAAACAAAGGATTTATTGCATAATAGGGCATTTGTGTGAAAGTCCAATTCCATTAGAAATGTACTGAAATTCATAAGATATGGTTATTTTTCTCATTTCCAGAAGACTGGAAAGATGATGACCTAATAGAGAGCAGCCAAGAAAATGAAGATGGGCATTTTTGGCAATTTGCTCTTACCACCAACAAAACATTAAATATACATGGTGGTGAGAGAGTAAGGAAAACTTTCAATCTGGGTAAAGACTGTGTTCCTTCAAGAAATTTTTCATATAAGATATGTGCCTCTTGTGAAATGAGTTTGAAGAATATTTCAGACTTAATTATTAGTAGAAAGAACTATTCTGGAACAAAACCTGATACGTTTAGTTTATATGAGAAATTGCTCCTTGATATTAGGCATGAGAAAACTCTTACTGGAGGGAAATCTTATAACTATGATCAAAAAAGGAATATCCTTAGTCATGGCCAGGATCTCACTCAGCTAATTTTCGACCAGCCTTCTGAGTATAATGAAAATGGACAAGACTTCCAAGAAGAGGCAGCCTTTTTCTCAAATAAGAGATCTCAGATAGGAGAGACACTCTGTGAATATAATGAATGTCAAAGAACTTTCATCCAAAACTTAAAGCTCAGTTTATCTCAGAGAACTCATTTAGAAAGGGACCCATATGAATGCAGTATTTGTGGGAATCCCTTCTATGTGGATTTAAGATTGGGACATCAGAGAGCTCTTACAGGGGAGAATCCTTATGAATATAATGAATATGATCAAATTTTCTGTGACAATTCAACTTTCATTATTCATCCGAGAACTTATACAGGAAAAATTCCCCATGAATATAAAGTAAGTCACAAAACGGGGGGGAAATCAGCCCTCTTTAAACATCAGATAGTACATATGAGAGCAATACCTTATGAGCACAAGGAGAATGGAAATAATTTCAACAAGAAGTCACATCTCACCCAACCTCGAAGAGCTCACTCAGGAGAAAAAAACTTTGAATGTGCTGAATGTGGAAAAACATTCTGGGAGAAGTCAAACCTCACTCAGCATCAGAGAACACACACAGGAGAGAAACCCTATGAATGTGCTGAATGTGGGAAAGCCTTTTGTCAGAAACCACACCTTACCAACCACCAACGAACACATACAGGAGAAAAACCTTATGAATGTAACCAGTGTGGAAAAACATTCTGTGTGAAGTCAAACCTCACTGAACATCACAGAACACACACAGGAGAGAAACCCTATGAATGTAACACATGTGGGAAATCCTTCTGCCACAGGTCAGCACTAACTGTACATCAGAGAACACATACAGGAGAGAAACCCTTCATATGTAATGAATGTGGGAAATCCTTTTGTGTGAAGTCAAACCTCATTGTACATCAAAGAACTCACACAGGAGAAAAACCGTATCAATGTAATGAGTGTGGGAAAACCTTCTGTGAGAAATCAGCTCTTACTAAGCATCTCAGAACTCACACAGGGGAGAAACCCTATGAGTGTAATGGATGTGGGAAAACCTTTAGTCAGAGATCAGTACTCACTAAACATCAGAGAATTCACACAAGGGTGAAAGCTCTTTCCACATCCTGAATGTTCAGAAATCTGTCCACCCTTTCAAATTCATTATTCAGTTTTTAAAAAATAAGATCAATGAAACCCAAAGAACATCACAAGTTACTCAAAAGTTATGTCTTATTGTACTTCAGATAATTAATATTAGAATAAAACCTTATTAATGTTTTAAATATGTGGAAGCTTTTAAGAAAAAATAAACTTTTGTCAGAAAATTTGTACTTAGGAAAAATTTGTTCATTTAAGTTATATGGTAAAAATCTTTGTAGAGAATTTATGTTGTATCATATTCCAAATGTGATACCAAAACTTTATTGTAAATATAATGTGTGATACTCACTTATACTGATATTCACAGTATAATCTGAAGCTTAAAAAATGTTGAATGACAATAGCATTAAACATTTATGTGAAGAATCCCTAATGTGTTCAGACCTATGTAAGTATTCTAACATAATAGAAATTTGAGGTATGCTTGATTTATATATTAGAGTCCAACATTAATTGTGAAGAGAAAGTATGAACACTTAAACAACTATTGTGATCTATATTAATATTTCCCACACTAAATACCACCAGTATCTTTGTAGGCTAACATAATTGCATATGTACATGTAAATATATTTATACACACATATAGTGATGTGCTAGATTAAGTTCATACTGGCTTGGAAGTACTGCTGATTTAAATTTTCAGGAATTTTGCCAGCCAGTTGTTAAACACAGTCATTTAAAAATTAAATTACATAAAATTATAATTAAATTATATTAAAAACAAAGGTGGTAAATACTCAACACATTACTTACTAATTATTTTATAATATTTTGCTACTTGTTCTTTAGGTTACTTATATTTTTGAGTCTTCATGGAGAGAATACTGAGTAATGGTGTGCAGCTGCACATCTCTTTCCATCTCTACATTCAGTGCCATCATGTTGGTAGCTTGGCTTAGTGTGAGTATTTACACAATGGAAATTGGCAAACTCTACATATTAGAGTTATTTTCTTAGATAACCTGTTGTCAAGTATTTAGCAGCACACCACTATGGATATAAGAAAATATATTTGGAAGAGTTAAAGTGAAAACCACATAACTTTTCTCCTATTTCCTGACATAAATACATGGCTATTGTCATTGCTGAACTGCCACTTCAATAAAGAAGACAAAATATGTTTCTGTGAGTTTTTTAACCACCTTTGCATCATTTCTATCCTCAATACTACCAAGTCTCTTTAGAGTACGGCCAGTATATGTTATTTTACAGCCACGTCACCTACCTTTCCTCATAGATGAGTGAGTACTGCCATTATTATTGAACTACTTCCATTAAAAAACCAAACATTTTTTCCTGAGTTTTTTTAAGCAGCCTCTCAGTCAATACTGTAAATGCTGTTAATAGTGATACATAAATTCCACAAAGATTAATATTAGTTATAAACAGTAATATTGCACTGTACAAATAAAAAAATAGTTGTATGTAATGAAATGCCTCTTTCATACTCTTGGTATTTCATTGCTGTATCTATTTAGGCATGATATGTGTAACCTGAGTTGTATGTAATCCAGGAAGTATGTATTTGTATTTCATATAATAGTGTTACATACTGTCCCTTTTGCCTTTGTCCTATTGTTTCCTATGATTCCTTGCAACATGTTGATAAGCAGTTCCAAGAGACTCTACTTCTTATTTGTTGGGCTCTGTTTTTTCTTTGTCTATCCCTCACCCAGATGATATAAGGGTAAATCCAGATTAGTCTGAGTTAGTCATGGATATGCTAATGATTTTGTTGGGTGGATATGTGAGATATGAGATGTTTGGAAAATATTCTATAGTGCTTTGAGGAAAGATCTCAGCAATTAAATGTCATGACATGAGAAAACATGAGAAGAGATTGTCTCTATTGTAATGGACTTTTTCATGTCTATATAGTATATCAAATTATAGTTTATGGCTCTAAAGGGCAATAGCCCAAAGGTAACAGCACACAAGATGAGAAAACCCTAGCTTTAAGATATGCAACTCTATATGGACTTGCTCTCTCTCAGGACCTTATATTACTGTGATAATAATGGCTTCTCATTTATTCTTAGGGTTATTATTTAGAACTGAAGGCATTTCCCCCAAAAGAGATGAATTATTTTCTAAGTGTTAATATTCTTAAAATACAGTGAATTTTGGGGGAAATTATTTCTTTTTTAAAAAATATATATTTTTATTGATTTCAGAGAGGGAGAGGGAGAAAGATAGAAACATCAATGATGAGAGAATCATTGATTGGCTGCCTCCTGCATGCCCCCTACTGGGGATCGAGCCCGAAATCTGGGCATGTGCCCTTGATTGGAATTGAACCCAGGACCCTTCAGTCCACAGGCTGAGGCTCTATCCACTTAACCAAACCGGCTAGGGCAAATTATTTCATTTAAAAAAATATATACTTTTTTATTGATTTCAGAGAGGGAGGGATAGATGAGATAGATCTATGATGAAAGAGAATCATTGATCAGCATGCCTCATACTGGGGATTGAGCCCACAACCAGGGTGTGTGCCCTCACCAATAATCGAACTGAGACCTCCTGGTTCATAGGTCGATGCTCAACCACTGAGCCATGCTGGTCGGGCTGGGAAGAATTATTTCTTTTGACAATTTAATATGGGGTAGGTCTTGTGTCAGCATGGTTCCGGTGAAAAACAGAATTCTAGATTTTAATGGCAGACTTACAGTGGACCAGAAACAGGCTATTGAATCACCTAGAGACTAGCATCTGCACTATTCTAAATCCTAAAGGGGCGAAGGATGGAAGCAAGTGTTACCAGAGCCCGGTGAGACTTGCTCCCATGAAGGAGGGGCCACCTCCAGAATTGTGACACCAAGTTGCTGGTGCCTCCCTAGGGAGAACCTAAGCAGATGCCATCTGCAGGTAAGCCCAAGGGGGCACAGAGATCTGGGTGGAGCCGATGGAGAATAAGCAGTGCAGTGTTTCTTAATTCCTATGTAAAGGCTCAGCATTAGAAATTTATTCTAGTTGAGAGTTGTGTTTTTGCTTTGTTGTGCTTTGTTGTGATAAGTACATTCCTTTTGGAACTGAGTACTGTGGTAGGTATGTCTCACCTTTAACGTGTGAAGCAGACATGTATACTTGCATTATTCATATTTCCGTCTGTGGTGTTTCTTGTTACATGTCGTGTGAGGTAAGCAGCTCTCTATTCTTCCAAATAAGCCAGCTGTTCCTGCAGCTTAATTCACCTTTTTCTTTCTGATACGGCATTTTTATTACATCTTTGCAGGACATTTGGTCCTGTCCAAAACACCCACTGAGACATTCGGCCCACAAAATAATACATTTAACTTTGTTAAAATTGTTATTTTTTTATGATGAATTTGGGGTTTCATATTTATTCTTGTTTTTCCTTGTCATGAAGTTTGGCAGAGTTACTCTGTAAAGCCATGAGCAATTGCTCTAAAGAATATATCAACCTGCCTGGCTCGTGTGGCTCAGTGGACTGAGCACCATCCCATGTACCAACAGGTTGCTGGTTCAATTCCTGGTCAGGGAATATGCCTGGGTTGTGGGCTCAATCCCTGGTAGTGGATGTGCAGGAGGCAGCTAATTGATATTGCTTTATCATCAATGTTTCTGTCCTCTCCCTTCCTCTTTCTAAAAAATCAATAAAAACATTTTAAAAAAGAATATATCAACCTGATTACTGGCTTTATATTTGTTATATCTGTTAACAATTTTGTTTATACAAATTGTATTTTGTTGGTATCATTGTTAAATTGGTGGTTATATTTGAGTGTGACCACCAAAACCTGGCTGGTAACTTTATAGCTTTACTGTTTATCTTTCAACACTTAAATAAACTCCAAATTGAAGGATAATACACTACCATCAGCTTTGAAATTTGCTATGCCACCCTTCCTCTGTGTGGTTTGTCCTATGATCAGCCTTCAGTACTGATCTGTATACACCCCAAGTTTCTGGTAGAAATCTTGGAGCTTCTGGTCTGCTGCCTCTGTCACACCTTCCACAGAGGTACCCTATCTCAACATAATTAGGTCAGTGGTCAGCAAACCGCGGCTCACAAGCCACATGCGGCTCTTTGGCCCCTTGAGTGTGGCTCTTCCACAAAATACCACGTGCGGGAATACACGTACAGTGCAAAGTTGACTTAAAACTTTAAGTAAAGTTTATTAAGTTAATTTTAGGGAACGTTGTGGAGTGAAAGAAGATGTAGTGTCAAGGACTGAAAAAGGTATGTTGAGATGGTTTGGACATATAGAGAGGATGAACGAAAGGAGATGGACGAAACAAGCATACAAGACGAGTGTGGATGGGATAGTTGGAAGGGGTCGACCTCAGCGAACGTACCTCAATCAGACTGAGGACGTTTTTAGCAAAGGCCAGCTTAGGAGTACCCTAATCAAGTTAATAACAATGTACCTACCTATACAGTTTGGCTCTCAAAAGAAATTTCAATCGTTGTACTGTTGATATTTAGCTCTGATGACTTAATGAGTTTGCCGACCACTGGTGTAGGTAAATGCAGTTACTCGAATCCTCACACAACCGCATCAAATTAAAATAAACTACAGAACAAGCATTATTCAGAACTGCCTGACGTCTAGCTGAATGGAAGTCCTACAACTGGGAATTTAAAGAAGCCATATTGAGACTGGTAGGAGGGGTGGAGATATGGAATGAGCTGGTCCCACACCCACATGTGCCAGATAAAAATCAGAAGGTATATCTTGGCTGTAGAGGACCTCCCTGAGGAGTGAGGAATCCTACCCCACACTAGATCCCCCCAGCCCAGAGTCTCAGTGGCAGGAAGAGAAAAACCCCATAACTTCTGGCTTTAAAAAACAGTGGGGGTAGGTGACTGAGGGAGATGGAAGCTGAGAGGGACAGGCTGCTGGAGTCCCAAGCACTTCCTCTTAAAGGGCCTTTGTACTGACTCAGACTTGCTCCCTCTGAGCGCTAGCACTGGGGCAACAGCTCGAAAGGCACAGGGACATATGGGGAGGAACTGAATTTTCCAGCATTTGGGCAAGAGCTGGAGGGGCAGCTTTCTGTCTGACAAAAGTGCTGGCAGAGGCACTAGTACCCTTGACGAGCCCAAAGGGAGGGGCCGCATCTGAGTCTCCATCAATCTGGCTCACACTGTTTGCCCCTCCCTGTTGATCCCCTGAGACCCCGCCTCACCCAAACTGTGGACCACCCAAGTTGTTTCCAGTGGCTTTTCTATACAAACTGCCTTTCTTAGCTCCTGTGGCGGGCTTTCCTGAAAATCTCTTAAAGGTTCACAAATTGCAGACACGCAGCATCTAGCCTTGGCATGTCTCATACCTCTCACCAAGAGGCCCCAGGCCTGGCACTAATGGCAGCCAGCCTTGGTTCCCACCTTGGACTCTCCTGGGCACCTGCAAGCCCAGCTCGTGCTGGGTGGCCCCAGGCAGGGCACAGGTGGTGGCTGACCTTGCACCTCCCAAGAGGCTTTAGAGTCAGTGCACCCAGTGGACAGCTGGTCGGGTAGGAGTGGAAGAACAAAGGCCATTGAGAAGGAAAACCCCAGGACTGTACTAGTAGATGGTGTTCTGAGAGCAAAGCGAACCTAAGAGAGACTAGGAGAGGAACCAGAGAAAATACTGACAATTCTTTTGTGAAAGTTTGCTACAAAGAAACATGGAGAAAAGGTATAGGAAATGGGGTCAAGAGGAGTTCATTTGAAGATGAAATAACTGCAGGTTGTATGATGACGGGAATACGCTAGTAAAAACTGATGGTGTTGGGGAGAGAACAGACTGGCTGGAGCGACGCCCTGGAGGTAACAGGATCCAGCAGTCAGGTGCAGGATTAGTTTAGGTGGACACAGGTAGCGCATCTACAGTAAGGGGCAGGGAACAGAGCGGGGCACTGGTGGATATGGTGGTAGAAGTCTGCAGCGGTGGGAGTCTCCACTTCCATTTTCTTAGTGAAGTAGGATGGAGGGGGAAGGAGGTGGGAAGGGCTGAAGAGAGAAGAGGTGTGAGATCCTCATTTGGGAGGATGGCAGAGCCCAAGCAATGCTGGAACTGTTGAAGGGAGGGCAGTCAGGATGGCTCTGTGTTCTCCTCTAGCCGCGTTTAGCTGCACTGCTGCAGTATGGAGCCGGAGAACTGGGTTTCTCCAGGGTTCTCATTTTACCAAGCAGATATGATGAGGTGACAGGGAGATGAGGGAGTTAAAAAGGGATGCAAGAAGCGCCTCCTAAAGGCAGACCATGGAGTTCACGCTAGCTTACTAGGGAGGGAAAACTCACCAAGGGAGGAAGGTGGTAGGAGGTGGGTTGGAGATAGTGGTAGGGTTGCAGGAGTTTTGGTTTGGGGGCATTAGAGGGAATAACTTAGAAACATCGGAAGTGGTGGTCGGAGTGGGGCGCTTCAGGGGTTGCAGACCTTAGACAAGTTCTAGGGTGTGATCACGGGGGCACTGAGGCTGCGCCAAGTCAGAAGACAAGAGTGGGACACACGGAGCCAAGTGGATGCTAGGATTACCCACCCGTATACTGAAATCTCCGAGAGTATGGGGGGTAGCGTTAAAGCTACAAAATTATGAGCTCTTCACAGAGGAGGGAGTCTGTGCCCCGGAGGGCAGCCTCCCTGGCACAGCAGCTTGTAGTGATGCAGAGCGAACGCCTGTGGGCACCGAGGGAGAACTCGAGCTCGCTGTGAAGGGCATCGAGGGCAGGGGGTCTCCATTACTAGTGCGCCTGCTTTTATGAGGCAGAACTGGGCCTTGGGGGGGGGGGGGTGGCGGGGTGGCACTGGTAGGATATTGAAAAGAAAACCTCCAAGACCAGAGGGAGATAAAACTGGCATCCAGCTCACCCGGGATGGGCTTGGATGAACCCGCAGCAGTCCCTCGGGTGGAATGGGCAAACCTGTGCTAGAAGAAAGCGGCAAGAGGCTGCGTTCTCCCACGGAAAGTCCTTTCCCGGGGTCAGAGGAAGGCCGAGGCATTCCACGTGGGTCAGTCTGTCCCTGCCCTGAGTCTGCTGTTCCCGAGCAAGCGGTCGAGCCACAGCGACTCCCAACCCAGCGATACCCCACCAGGCCCGTCGGGGGTCGGCAAGGTGGCGCAGGGTGACCGGAAGTGCTACTTCCTGCTTCTGTCCCGCAGCGAGGAACGGCGTCAGGCCGCACCGTCGCCACGGCCTCCGGGTCGCTCGGGCGTCCGGAGCAGACGCGGCTCGGAAACCCAGAAGAGTAAATAGTTGTAGCTGAGGGCGGCGGTCCCCGCGGTCGGATCCCCGGGGCGGGGCGCCTCCACTAGCCAATCACAAGTCTTCCTTGCGGCTCTCCCCGGAAAGTCGTCCCTCCGCCGGTCCCTTTCTTCGGCCCCCGCCTTGTTTCCCGCCGGCGGGTGGAGTAAGTGCGTAGGCCGCATTTCCGGTTCCGGCGTGGTCCACGCGGGGCTGAGCAGGAGCACCTGTGAGCTTGGTGAGCGCCCGGGGCTGGGGGAGGCGGCGGCGGCGGGGTCTCCGGGGCTGGGGCTCCGGGAGCTGAGCGCACGGGAAGGCCCGTGTTCGGTCTCGGGCAGTCTGCCCCCGGGGAGAACCTGAGGCGCCGGGACAGGCATCTTCCGTACCTTCCGGAGACGTGCTCCTCGGTCGTTGGGGGCGTGGCTAAGGAATGCGCGTGGGGAGCCGGGACCCGGGGAGAGGGGCAAGGAGAGCTGGCGGGCGTTTCAATGCGGCATAATCCCGGCCGGTGACAGACCCGAGTCACGTCAGTTAATTCCAAAAAGTGTTTCCCCTCTCCCCACCTAACCAGCATCCCAAGAGGATAAACTTGGCATCAAGTGCATACAAGTTCGGAACCAAGATACAGTTGAGTAGAAAAAGAATGTCCTGAAACACACAGCTGTTTAGTTTCAAAGCGCTCCTAGAACCCAGCTCCCCTAACTCCCATTGGTATTTCTTGACATTATGCTGGTATGTGCGGACTTTCTATTCCGCCGGGGAGAGGGGGGAATCGGCCTGCCCTCCTGCAGTGCAGCCGTCTGATGTGGCCCTTACTGCCTGGCTCTGAAGACATTGCTTTGAATTCCGCCCACTAGTCAGATCATAGCTGCAGCCATCTCCCGGCACCGTGCCTGGCACATCTTAGGCAGACGCGTATATTTATTGAACTGAAGTTATCTCAGTACCTTCATTGGATGACTTGATTGCCCCACTCCCCTTTTTTGTTACCCATGTGCTATATTGTATGCAGCCTGATTTCCTTAAAAACAAACAAACAACAAAACTTAATCCAGTGGTTCCCAGTTTATGAGCCATGAATTTCTGGGATGCTCAGGAGTCCTAAGGGTTTCTGCAAATCTGTGTGGTCTCCAGGCATCATCCACAACCAGTCATATCTCACACGAGTACATATTGCTATTTTTTAAGTGTATGTAGGTAATTGTTATAATTTAAGAGTTTTACAGTGTCAAACTAAAAGTAACACTGCTATCATGTTGGGTGATTATTAAAATGCTTTGATTTTTTAAATAAAATACCTTAAAATAGTTTGTTTGGAAGCCATTTTATTAGTCCAGTTGCTATTTAGAGCTGAGCTGTCCAAATATTCTAGTAAAATATGACTATTTAAATTTAGAATGGAATTAATTAAAATAAAATGTCAATTTCTCGGTTTCACTTGGTACATTGTAAGTTCATTAGCCACATGTGGCTAGTGACTACTGTGTTAAAAATAGCTATAGAATGTTTCCATCCTTGCAGAAATGGACAATGTTAATGCAGAAACTTAAGATGAATAGATAGTAATCTAAGCAGAGCTAACTAATCTAATTTATAGCAGAGCAGTGAAATTTGGCATATTAAGTAGTTCCTACCCTTCTTGGGTGAACATATATGTGTCTTTTTTTTAAAGAAATAAATTTGCTGTTTTTCCCTGGGTGCTGTGTAGATTGTAAAATGCTTCCTCCACCCCCACCTCATTCAATGTAGGTTACTTGTGAATTGGTAAAAAGTCACCATGGAGACCAAGGACCAGAAGAAACACAGAAAGAAAAACAGCGGGCCCAAAGCTGAGAAGAAAAAGAAACGGCATTTGCAAGACCTCCAACTTGGAGATGAGGAAGATGCCCGGAAGAGAAACCCCAAAGCTTTTGCAGTCCAGTCTGCTGTGCGGATGGCTCGATCCTTTCACAGGTATAGTTAGCTAGATTCTTCTAGTGGTTCTTTCATTTTTTTTCTGTAAATAATATATTTTTATTGATTTCAGAGAGGAAGGGATATCAATGATGAGATAATCATAGATCAGCTCTCTCCTGCATACTCCCCACTGGGGATGGAGCCCACAACCCTGGCATGTGTGCTGACCAGGAATCGAATTGTGACCTCCCAGTTCATAGGTTGATACTTGACCATTGAGCCGCACTGGCTGGGCTCATTTTTTTCTTTTTAAACAGTTGGAGTCTCTCCAGATGATGTTTGAATTCATGAGTCTATTCAGCTCTGAAAGACATGGAGATGCATGCCATATTTTACTAAGACATAAGAGGTCGTTCCTATGGAAGCTGCCTTGCCTCCAGTGATTATACTGATTGCCTTTTTTTGCCCAAGAAAAACCATGAGTTTTTTAATAGAATTTGTTCTTAAACTTTAAATAATATCTCTGATAATAGGTGTGCTTGTGGGGTTTTTTTGGATGTGTTTTATATAGTTGAAATATGTAATATTAAATAACTTTATTTAATGAATCCTTATATGCCAAGCAATGTACTATAAACATTATTATTATTATTTTTTTTTTTATTGATTTCAGAGGGAGGGGGGAAAGAGAGCGAGAGAGAGAGAGAAACATCAATGATAAGAGGGAATCATTGATTGGCTGCCTCCTGCACACCCCCTACTGGGGATCAAGCCCACAACCTGGGCATGTGCCCTGATAGGGAATTGAGCTGTGACCTCTAGTTTATGGGTCTATGCTCAACCCCTCAGCCATGCCAGCTGGGTTAAACATTATTTTTTTTAAAGTATTTTTATTGATTTCAGAGAGGAAGGGAGAGAGGTAGAAACATCAATGATGAGAGAGAAGCATTAATCAGCTGCCTCCTTTACACCTCCCACTGGGGATGGAACCCGCAACCCAGGCATGTGCCCTGACCAGGAATGGAACCAGTGACCTTCTGGTTCAACCACTGAGCCATACTGGCCGGGCTAAACATTAGTGAATTATATTCTTCCAGTAAAGGAGCCAAATTTAACTCTATAGCCTCTGCTCTTATTCATTATGATATACTGCCTCTATGTTTGCTCTTTTTTTTCTCTTTAAACTACTGTAATCAGCTAATAAAGCAATCAGATTTAAGGTTAGTGTAGTTTTCAACCTTCTGTACTGTTTAAGCTCATCTGTTTTTCTATTTACTGAAGTGGTTATTTGGATTGGAGCCAGGAGTTAACAAGTTAATTATACCTGTGTATTGTCTGTTCTGCGCTCTTTAAAATCTTTACATATGGGGATACTGCCTTTTATATTTTGAAAATGAATTTATTTATTTATTTTTTAACAAATAGGACTCAGGATTTGAAGACAAAAAAGCACCATATTCCAGTGGTTGATCGAACTCCACTAGAGCCTCCACCAATAGTGGTGGTGGTGATGGGGCCTCCGAAAGTTGGCAAGAGCACTTTGATTCAGTGCCTCATTCGGAACTTCACCAGGCAGAAGCTCACAGAGATCAGAGGCCCTGTAACAATTGTGTCAGGTAGGCGGGTGCGACCCCAGACTGACATGGCAGGTATTGTCGTCTGAGAAGCATGCATGTCCTTGATGAACTTTTTTTTTTACTGGTAAATGCGAAATTAACATTATCACTTCATATTACCTCTTATAAGTTTTACTAAGTTGGCTGTAACTTCAGAAAAAGATAAGTTCCTAGAGGTAATAATGATGCAGGTGTATATCTTATTCTGACTGCAGTGTGGGTTTGCTAGGGATGCTCCTCCGAAAGAGGAGCAGGCTGGCTTGGTCCTGGTGAGCACCTTCATTTAACAGATAGCAAGTACTTCCCATTCTTGTGGAGGTAAGGGAGTTTTCCTCTTTTCTGTGAGATTTATCTGCTTTGGAAGATGGTGATCTTTCTAAATTTGAGGGAAGATAAAACAAATTCCCAAAATGACAGTGGTAGACCCTGAACTTTCTCATTTAGCAATAATAAGCACGGGTCCACTTCTATCTGGGTTGTTTTTTTTTTTAAATGAATGTACAGTTGGCTTTTTGTATCCCTAGGTTTCACATCCGCAGAGTCAAGCAACTGTGGGTCAAAAAGAGTATTTTTTTATCCGTGGTTGGGAATCTGCATATGCGAAGGCCAACTCTATGCATTGTCATGAGCCATTTTATGTAAGGGAGTTGAGCCTCTTTGGCTTTTGATATCCACAGGGGTCCTGGAACCAACCCCTGTGTTTACCAAGGGAAGACTCAAGTTTTGGGGGAGTCAAAGATGATATGCAATTTTCTACTGCACAAGGGTTGGCGTCCCTAACCCCCTAATTGTTCAAAGGACAACTATAGTTGGACTAAGGCTTATCCTTAAGACATTTTTGTTATGGTGATGACTTTTTTTATACTTATTTTAGAAATAATGATTGTTCACAAACATTCTGTTGTATTAGGTTTGAGGATTTTTTTAGCTTTAGTGGGAACACAGGAAGCTTTGTTAGAGGTAGAAGCGCTGGCCACTACTGAACAGCAGAATCAGGGTCATCATGAAATCCACTTGTCTGCCCATTCTAGTCGGAATTTTACCTGTTTGAGCACTTTATTCATATGAGTAGTCTTGTGATATTTTAAAATTAGAGAACATAGCAAGAAAACCAAGATGAAATAGATTTTATCAATTCTCTCCTATAAAAATGAATTTCTGGCATACTCCTATAAGTGTATATGGTGCTTTACTTAATGCAGTTAAAAATGTTAATTAACGTTAATGGATATATATTTTTTAAAGTACAGTTTTCATCTTTTCACTTATAGGTAAAAAGCGCAGACTCACCATTATTGAATGTGGATGTGACATTAACATGATGATTGACCTGGCTAAAGTAGCAGATTTGGTAAGTTAGTGTGGGCAGTGGTTTTCTGATGGGGATTTAGAGCAGAGTGATGGGTTATTTATCCCATGTTGAAGGGAAGAAAGGATTATAATTATTTTAAGGAAGTGATGAGTGTTATGAGGGATGCAGTAGATGTATTTGATGATGATGGTCATAATAATTTTTGTTATAGTGAAAATGGAATGTGCACAATGAAATGTATTCTAAAATCTAAAAGTAAATCACAGGACAAAGAAAACCTTTAACCAACATAGCTAATAAAAGCTCATTAAGATATATATATACATACATGTCTATATATATGCATATGTGTGTGTGTGTGTGTGTGTGTGTGTGTATATATATATATATATATATATGTATATGTATATGTATATGCATAAGTATGTACATGAAACAGTAGTAACGGTCCATTTCTTGGACCCTTAGTGGGCATTGTGCTAACAGCTTTCTACAAATTTAGCTCATCTAATCCCCTAGTATGCCCTAGAGGTAAATAGGTATTATCTCCAAT